TGCATCCTGTATGTGGTGGTCAGTGGTAATCTCATGTACAACAGCTTCCCCAACATGCCAATTTCTCAGAAGTCCTGGGCCATCATCGCTACCGCCGCTCTGCTCCCCTGCGCCTTCCTCAAGAACCTGAAAGCCGTCTCCAAGTTCAGCTTGCTGTGCACAATGGCCCACTTTGTCATCAACGTCCTGGTGATAGCGTACTGCCTCTCCAGAGCGAGGGACTGGGCCTGGGACAAGGTCAAGTTTTACATCGACGTCAAGAAGTTCCCCATCTCCATTGGGATTATCGTGTTCAGCTACACCTCGCAGATCTTCCTGCCGTCCCTGGAGGGGAACATGTACAAACCGAGCGAGTTCCACTGCATGATGAACTGGACTCACATCGCTGCCTGTATCCTCAAGGGCCTGTTCGCCCTGGTGGCCTACTTGACCTGGGCTGACGAAACCAAGGAGGTCATCACAGACAACCTGCCCCCAACCATCCGAGCCGTCGTCAATATCTTCCTAGTGGCCAAAGCTTTGCTGTCGTATCCGCTGCCGTTTTTCGCCGCCGTCGAGGTTTTAGAGAAATCGTTTTTTAATGACGGGGCCCGTGCGTATTTCCCAGATTGCTACGGAGGCGACGGACGCCTAAAATCCTGGGGACTCTCTCTCCGATGTATCCTTGTTGTGTTCACCTTGCTCATGGCGATCTATGTGCCACATTTCGCCCTCCTCATGGGTCTCACCGGCAGCCTGACAGGCGCAGGCCTGTGCTTTCTGCTTCCCAGTCTCTTCCACCTTAAGCTTTTATGGAGAAAGCTGCTATGGCACCAGGTTTTCTTTGACGTGGCCATCTTTGTAATAGGAGGTATATGCAGCGTATCTGGTTTTATCCACTCGATAGAGGGGCTAGTAGAGGCTTTCAAATATAACATAGAAGAGTAGATTGCATTGCTGGAACTAGATGTTAACTGCAAATCCCCATTTAGTGAAAAAATAATAAACACACGAGTTCCCGGCAAGCGCGGCCCTTCTGCTTAACTCATGCGTAAAAAGCGCGCACAGAACACACGCGGACATTTTCGCACTCACTCTTGCATCAGTTCAGAAGTAACGCGCACACACACACACACA